ACATCCAGGCTCAGACAGTTCCCAGAATTAGGAAGAGAATGCAGTCAGGCCTGGGGCACGTACTTACTGCAACTACAAGTGACCATCTTGTCCATGCGAAATGGGGGCACTGCTGGAAATGGACCTTTTAAGGCCTAAACATATGACTGAATTGTAGCTTTGCTTCAGCAAGTTCAAGAATTAAAACAGTACCTTTATTCTTTTCTGCATGAACCACTTTTTTAAAAACAGCAAAACCCCCACAACCTCAGATGAACTTTTGTACTGTTTTGTTACTACTATTCTTCTGTCTTCCCTTTACATTTATCTTCTCTCACATTTTCCGTTACTGCCTGTCCACCTCATCTCCCAATTTTCCTGTTTCCCTCTATCATCATGCTGAAGGGGGGCTGCTTTCTCACACCCCCCAGCTGTCTCCAGTGTAGTCTCTTTGACCAAGAACAACTGTGGGCTGTTGTGCTTTGCCTTTGAGATGTTCTCATGCAATTAAAGCAACATGTTTTCTACCATCACTGAACAGTGGAGTAGGAACCTATTTTACCTGCTGTGGTTAACTATTTTACCATGTTGCATTTACTACGTTAGTCATTTTAATAGTTGCAGAAGTCAGTTTTGTTCAGCTGTTCTGAGAAGCAGCACCACTGCAGAGCAGAAAAGGCTTGATATGACAGGCTAAGACATACACTAAAAGCCCTTCCAAACGGCTGACCGGCAGCATACCAAAGGTACCAAAACCACCTTGTGGCCTTGCCTCATACACATCTAATAGCTGCCCAGTACCTGTGGTGGCTATGAGAAATAATAGCAGATGCTCAGGTGGGACAGTGATATTCTTGCTGATGAGCCTGGGAAGTTACGCCACATGCTGTATGTTGGTGTACAGATGGGAGTAGTAAGGACAGTGTTGATTTTGGACAGATAGTGACTAAAGGCAGGATGTGATGCTTAGGAAGCAATACGCTCTGGCAGCAGAACTGAGTTATGCTGTTCAGATGCCACCACTTAGACAAAGAAGTTCTCAACAGAATCTGTAATTGCCTGGGCAACATTTTGTAATGAAATCATATCTTACTAAAGACAAAGTAGTAGGAATTCTTCCCTCAAATTTGTAAGCACACATTGCAGGATTGCCACCCATTTGGCGCTACCAGTTTTTTTTTCACTGGTTGAACATCCAAGTTGTTCTACTCAGTGGATGGTGTCATAACTCCTGAGGCATCCAAGCTCCTGAAGATCAAGACCAAGACAAAATACGGCTGGCCAAAAAACTGAAGACAGAAGGAAAGTACAAAACCCACTTAATCGCAGATTCTAGTTTTTCAAGTGCCCTCCCTCCTTTCAGGCCAAGCAAAATACCCTTGCTGTGAGAAATTTTTTCTCATTAATAATATCAGAGGACTAAGGAAACAGACAGATTATGTTCTGATTTTTTATTCCATCCTACTATTTAACCACACGTAAGATGGGCATCAGTTTCTCTATTTGTAGAACAGTACTACAAAATAAACACAGTTACAAAACGTTCTTAAGATACTTGCAGGAATGAACTATGAATATGTAATGTCAGTTACAGTAGACATATGGAGTGGATTGCTGAAAGGCTGGGGAATCTGGATCACAGAAGTCCATCACTAATTCTGATGTCTATTTAAAATGAAATTGAAGCACTGCAGGGATAATTCTTTCTGATCATTTCATTGCAGTATTTGAGCATATTTCCTTGCCATTTTCTACTACTTTTAATTATGAAGCTACACATGATGTTCTTGATACTGTCTGCAAAAAATGGAGCATGGATTTTTCATGTCAGGTACACAGTTCCCTTTTTGTTGACTTCAATGATTTCTTTCCTGTATAAAGCATGCTAAAAAGAAACAGTAGCTTACATACAATTTTGAAGCTATTACTTGATGACAAAACATCTCATCTAAGTGATTTCCCATGCAAAAGAAGGAAAATCCAAAAAGATCTGAGAGAGGTTAGTGGTGCAAAACAAAAAAAGGAAGTTATCTAATTTAGAAGAGAGGCTACAGCAGTAAGTAAGAACAGCAACTTAAGCTGCGTGTGAGGGAATGGTTCCTGGCAGACAGATATATTAGATGCAATTGTGCAAAGCCCTCCATGGTGGCAGCTCTGAAACTGTAAATGGTATAGCTGCAATGGTAAAACTTCACACTAGAGCTAAGAACAGCATCACCAAAACCCTCAGTCATACAAGCAGTCCTGAATTAGGGGACTAATCTTTCCAACTAAGCTATTTTGATAAGGACTGCCAGGTGGGTAAAATAACCCCCTTTATATAGCACTTTGCCACTACTGGAGTAAAATCAGCATCTCATCAATATCTTTTGTTGTTACTGGCAATTTCACTAGGAATAAAAGGAGTATTTATTAAATTATTTCCAACATGCTAGAGGAAATATAAATGACTGAAGCTCTGCTTAAGCAAGAGATGCAATATGTGCAATGGAAATCTCACAGAAGTATGACAAACAGTGTTTGTTAGAGCCTTCCCTGTTAATACCATAATCCCTAACATAGCGAAAGTCTACTCCTCTTTTAAAGAAAGTTCTCACTCATTACCAGGATCTTGCTCATATACGGGCCTTTTTGGGGGTTGTTTTTAACATCATTAGTTACAAAATTAAATACATAATAATAGGAAGGAGAGACAACATTGTAATTATGAAAGGAGCAGAACCTTGTTAAGAAAAGTTTCCCTTGCCTCTTTTCCCTCTGTCATTTATTTGCTGCTATCTCATTTATACAGAACTTCAGCTGACATTCAAAGGTAGTTTGTGATCTGGTGAATACCGAACTGTGGTAATTGAAGTGACTTTTGATGTTGTTGTTTGTCTCTTAACTATAATTAAAATTTCTAATTGGAATTTACAACCATGCCTGTAGTGTATTGTTATCACAGCTGATGCGCCAGAAGAGAGTTATGGCACCCTCCCAGAAGATGAAGAATAATGGCTCTGGCTCACGGGTGAATTACACAGTTCCTTTAGTGAATACTGAGGACTAGCTCAAAAACCTCCTGGAGGCAAGCAATGGTTACCGCACAATTATGTGACAAATAATCCACAGCCCATGCAGTGAGCAAGTCTGATGGATGGGATTTTCAGATATTTTTGTCTTCGTCATTCATAATTTACTCAAGCATGATACCACTAGTGATCAATATTAAAGGCCCTCAGCAAAGGAAGCCACCACAGAACACAGTTGTAGCATGTGTAACTTGGCAAGGAAGTAGAGAATCACATCTGCATTTCACCAGACCCTGTGTTTCCAGTTTACTATGAGATCCAGGTACAGAGGGCAACACTACCTTGTTTCTCTATGTTTATTTCTGAGATATTGGGAGCATTCATTTTGCTGTACAGTCAAATCACATAACTGACAATTCCATGGGTAAAACCACAAAACTTAAGTGGCACATAATAGAGTCCTTTTGCGAAAGCAAATATAAAAGGTAGTCAGAGAAAAAAATGATTCAAACTGGAGGGATTTTTCACTTTCTCCAGTTGCTCCCGCAAATACATCCATTTCCTTTACGTGATTTTTGCTTATGTTACTTTTCAGAGGTAGATAATCTGCACATCTGTCTTTGACAGGCATGTTCTAGATCATGTAACATTATTTTTACTGCCAAGATTTGCCTAGAAACACTTTCACCTATGCCCATGTACTTAGCCACTTTGGGAGATACAAGGTCTTTACCCTTTTGTTTGCCAAGTTAGCTGTTGCATAAGAAAATGGGAAGGTTTTGGTTATTTGAGTCTTTGGCACATACTAGAGTAACAGGACAAAAAGGAGCTTTAGAAGAAGGGCTTTCACAAGAACAGGGATTGGAATTTGACACAGCTGCATGGTGTGAAGAAGGTGGCTGTACATTTCAGATTTGCAAAGATGACACAGTAAATATGTCAAGCAAAAACGATGTTGCTTCAGATAATGTACAAATAAACTGTATGTATACATATGTATGTATGTAAAATGTTTTAAAATGCATTGTTTCATTCATACAACATGCACAGTTAAAGATCAGAAATGATAGCTTTTATCAACAAATCTGAGTCAGTGCTGACTCTCGTATTCCTTAAAGTCTTTCAAAACAAATACACAAACTTCATTGTCAAAGCACTAATATACCAGTGTGTCCTAGGTTACAGTGTAAAATGTGCCAAAAGGGAAAAAAAAAGTATTCTATTACCATCTTCAGGAGCTGTTGAGACCAGGTGGGGCGGTGCTCCCTGCCTGCCCCCTCTGGACTGTCTTCTGTTAATGGCCCATCAAGGAACTGCACAACTCCCCATCCCATTGTGAGATGCTCCGCCCGGGGGGGAAGGAGCCAAGCAGTCCATGCTAAATAAAAACTGAGATCTCGAACACCCTAGCAGCCTTCTTCCACTGGGTTCCCGGAGGAGCTTCCTCCCCGCTGGAGTTCCAGAGGACAAGAGCTACCTACCTACCACTGGACCTTTGGAGGAAGACCAGACCCTTTTACAAGATCGCTGCTTCAACAGAACTACATCCATCGCTTCAGGAGGACTGCAGCCACCATCTTATCGGACTGCTACTGCCACCCTAACAGGGTGTCAGGTTGTATTTCTGACTCTGTCAGTGTAAACTAGCGGGTTGGTTTTTTTTTCTTTCCTGCCTTGTGTTATATATATATATACATATATATATGTGTAAAGAACTGTTATTCCTATTCCCTATATCTTTGCCTGAAGGTCCCTTAATTTCAAAATTATAATAATTTGGAGGGAAGGGGGTTGCATTTTCCATTTCAAGGGAGGCTCCTGCCTTCCTTAGCAGACACCTGTCTTTCAAACCAAGACACAGTGATTCTCAATTTACAGCAGAAACAATGTTCTAGCTTTCTACTAAACAGCTTATGGAGGTTGCAGAAAACAATGACAGGTACAAGATGGTTCCTCCTGCACAGACTACTAAGAGCAGCAGCAATATCAGAAATCATTAGACAAACTAACCTGTGGTGTCATGCCATGGCAGATATACATGATTGGGATATTCTCCGTGTCTGGCCCTTGATCAAGGCACAAATCACTTTTCAGGGAATTCTGTAGCTAAAATAAAGAGAAAGAAAAAGAAATCAAGCAAGTCTTACATGAGAAAAAGATGTTGTTGATTACTATTTTTTCTTCGCAAAAAAAATCATACACAGTTGAGCAAAGAAATACGCACAATTAAAAATACTTGTTGCAGTGAAGATATTGAAGAGAAAACACCTGGACTAGATTCTTCCATGTAGATTATCTATCACCACTGATTTCAATAATGTTGCACAAGGTTTCAGAGAGGGTAGATTTCAAAAAGCTTTCAGAGATAGCAATAATTTTTGATACATGTCTCTGGTACACGCTATATATGAAAGACAGATTTTTATACCAGCGCAGCTAGCTGAGCAGTATGGATGGAGTTTCAAACACGCAGAAAGCCCTGTAATAAACAGCTTTACAGAATCACTCGGGAGAGTCTTCTGATTTCTGGAAATAATTCAAAAAAATCCTTTCTGCTGACACTCAGAGACTTCTGGCCAATTGGTATGCACTAGCTCTTCTTTGCCTTATTCCGGGCTAACCCACGCACAGCAATCTAGCTATGAACAGACTGCAAAGTACTTGGCCCTGTTCATCACAAAGCCCTATATATTACCTGTGCAACGCTGAGACAGAATTTTCTGAAAGTGAAGTGCTAAATTAATGAGCACAGACAGCTGGAAGGTCTTTTTAAAGTGTGAGGCCAGAGGTGTGGATTGCATACTCATGGGCATGTATAAAGGTGTTCAGTGGTGTAAGATCAGTTTAGAGAACAGGGGAGAATTGTCTGATGGAGGGAGGGAAGAGGTGATGTGGTTTGCAACCATCTGTGATTAACTGAGCAGTCCTGTTGGCTGTGTACAGGAGTCTCCTTTGAGGAAAACAAATCGATACGCTTAAAAAGGAAGTCTAGAAGTGCACTAGGATGTAAGAAGTGTGGACAAGCCAGAGACTGAAGCCAGGGAGTGCATAAAGTCAAAACCACTGGCACACTTTAAGCCCAGCCAGCAACAAAGCACCATGTGGCTGCTTGCTTACTCTTCCCCAGCTGTGATGGGATGGGGAGGAGAATTGGAAGAAAAAGGTAAAGCATCATGGTTTGAGATAAGGACAGTTTAAGAGGACAACACAGGAAAGAAGAAACAAAACTAATAAAAGAATACATAAACCCCACGATGCGCAATACAATTGCTCACCACCCAGAACCCGACGCTCAGCCTGTTCCTGAGCTGTGAACCCCCAGTTATATACTAAGCATGACGTCATAGGGTATCGTATATCCCCTTGGCTGGTTTCAGTCAGCTGTCCTGGCTGTGCCCCCTCCCAGTGCCTTGTAAAAATTAACCCTATGCCAGCCAAACCCAGGACAGCCATGAACTCATCTCTACAAGATTTCCAACTCCAAACCTAACTGTAAATTCAGTAATAGACAGGACGAATCTCAACACTAAAAAGAAAATATGCATTAGGTATCAATACTGGCCTTATTCTTAGCTGCAAGCCTTGAGAATTAAATAACGTTTCCTCTCTCAAAGCTCTGTATTACTTAGCCCTAAACGTAACCACAACCATGACTCTAATTGTAATCAGATGTTAGGCACCACGCCCTATCCAAACCAATGATAAATAATAGCCTTATGAATTCATGCCTGGATCCATCACTACCTTGGGCTTTTCAAAACCTCTTCCACAAACTCAAGCTCTAATTCTCTAGCTCTACTAGCTTATTATGGGCCCACATTAACTTACTATACTTATCTTCCGCATCATGCACACCTGCCCTCTCTGTTCAGCTTGCTGGTTTTCTAGGGGCAACAATTGTGGCTGCTTTAATTAGCACAGTACAACTCGAGCGTGATTTCAACATTTCGACATTCAACCCATACATAGGCAAGGGTACTACTATCACACAAGTAATTATGATGATGATGATCCCAAAATACAGGTATTTGGGGTTCTAAATTAAGATCTGGCTACAATATTAAGAAGCTTACAGTTCAGAAATATTGACCCTATTTGGTTAATTCACCTGCTGCCACACACCTTCCAACTGACAGCTCCAACATGTCTAAAAAATCAGGTCTTGAATATCTCTGAGTGGAACGCAAGCCACGAAACAAACAGACAAATGAACAAAAAATCAGGGAGGAAGACAACATTCAGAACACCTCAGCATGAACTACAGCACAGCAGCTGCCTCTGTCAACTAACCAGTCTAACAAATTATTTAACTAGTGACTTCAAGTTTATCTGATTCTTCTACTTAAAAGCCAGGCATTGTCTTCATGAATTACTTCCACTATTACACCTTTGTCCCCCACCTTTTTAGAATGGGAAATATAAACAAGATCCTTACCACCCCATAGGCGACAGTATCTGAATACATTCTCATTTCTGGATACACGCTGACAAGGTACCACCTAAAGGTCTTGCACTGGAGCTTTTTCCTCAAGGCCTTCCTCTCAGAAATATCACCAATATCAATTCCGGAGTCCTGCACATAAATAAAAGGTCAGAAAAAGCAGAAAAGACATCAGTGATACACTTCTGCATAAATTAAAAATCCAGAGTCTCCCTCACCGCAAAGATGATTATGACCTACAGTAATTATCAGCTTTTGGTTGCGAAGTGAGTCTGTTACCTGCACACACTCCTTAAGTGCCCCAATTAAATATGATACAGGTCCCCATGGCAGGGTGTCTTTCAAAGTCTGCTTTGGTCAATGGAACCACTCCTGTTGACTTCAGTGGGATTTAGATCCAGCTTCCAATGACTATCCCTGTTGTTCTCTGATTTCCTGGCACTTTCCAAATCCAAAAGTAATTGGCAGGAAGTAGCAAGTTGCCCTAGAAACAACCTTATTGCTGGCATCCTGCTGTGGCCTAATCATTAGTATATGACACTTTCTGGCCATTTCTGAAGGCCAGGTTTACTGCTTCACTGCAAAAAGCAGAAGCTCTACTCACCTTTTTGAAATATCACTTATTAAATTTCTCTTCTAACACAAAAAGAGAAGTTGCTATTTCTGTTAAAAGCAATCACAGAATATTCTCTCTCCTAATTTTTATTCTCCTTTACATTTCTGGCTAACCTAATTTCTACTTATCATAAGAGCAGATCATAAAGTGTGAGTTTCATAAAGTCCCTATACACATAAATCAATAATTTATCACATTAAAAATCACACAGCATACATTTTTAGATAAGGATCTAAGTGCAAATCCACGGCTGCTATTTGACAGAAAGTAGAATAAGATATTTTGCTCTACCACTTCTGCCTCAGAACAAAACACAGGATAAATAAATTTTCATAGGGAAATCCTATAATCTATCTACTTAAACAATAGCCTTTACTGGGCCATAAATGCCCCAAAGATTTTGTCAGCCACCAGATATGATTTAAAAATAACATCAGAAGCATTGAATTTTCTTGACTACACATCAAAAAGGTATCTTTATAAGTATCTAGGTTTCTGAGCTGCTGAAGCAAAAACTGCTTCTTGCATCCCAAAGCACTGAATTAATGTTAATCTGGAAGAAGTATATTTTATTACAGAAGCATTTCCTAACTAAAGTAAAGTAAAATTGACTTCCACATTAAGCAAAGTATACTAAAAAGTAAGAAACTGAGGTCCGGCACAAACAGGCATAACTCTAGTTAATCCTTAAAAATGATGACTCCCCTCCCCTCAAGCCCTACATCATTCATAAAACTTAATGTGGAACTACTCCTTAAGTGGCCATTTTTTCCTGACTTTTCTAGCAAGTGACGAGCTAGAGGAACATGCTGTAGAGTGCTGTAAGACAACCAACTGATGCCATGGACAAATCCCGTTCATGCACCACTCCAGCTGCACTTGCCAGTGTATCTGCCACTTGCGTGAAGGAAAAGGAGGATGCCAGCACAGACTTCCAGCACTAACAAAGCTTCTTGGGATCAGGTACTAAATTGGTCCAGTGCATCCCAACTCCTTTCTCATTAAACCCTGCAGGCAGCAATGCTCATTTCCTCGCAGTTTATTGTATAAGGGAAGAGAGAGCATCTGGGGCCTCAGTAATCACATCCTCCCATGCAGCTGGACAAGGAAAATAGCTCACACGTAGCACACTGGTTTCATCACCAGCAACAACTCACTGTGTTCCCCAAAGCTCAGAATATGATGTTCATAGAGGACTTTTGTGCTAGTGCTTTCATGGTATATCATGTGGCTAATTCTGCAACCTGAAAATAAGACTTCCCCACTTTGCCAAAACTATCTATTCTTAACCATGAGTGATAAAGAAAACTATTGAAAGTATCTGAATCAACATCAGCATTCATATATCTAGCTGGTTTTTGGTTTCTGACCTTTTTTCCTTATTAAACTAAAGGAAGAGAAGTACAGCATTTTATTTCTCAAATGAGAAATGGCAGCAAAACCAGTTTCTCCGAACAGCTGCAAAATCACTCAGATTTTACAGAGATTTTATTAAAGAAAAAATAAATTGCCCAAGTTAATTTATTAAGTCTAGCATATTTGCTTTTGTTGTAATGATGAGAACTCCACACTATAAGTCAATCCTCAAATTCAACTACAGCCATCATTTCCAATCTCTAGGTGGAAATAACCTATTCTACATGGATCCTGAATATTTGTCAGAATAGGTACAGTCACGTTTCTCAGAGCCCTATAGGTCTTAACAGTTCATAGATTAAACGCCATTGACTACAGAAATGAAGAACAACTAAAATCAGACATCAAACTGAACTCTCAGGTTAGCCATCCGACATTATCTTTTCTGTATGACAGACCGACCATTGCTCATCTATGGAAAAGAAATCTGGACAAGCAGGCCAAAAGGGAGTTGCAGCTAGATTCTGCACTATGTCATAACATCCACCAGCTACCCTTACTCCGATGTGAAATTACTCAAAAGTAATACACCCACACTTGAATCAATAGGTGTTAACAAACCCTTGCCCCTTGGCAAAACTTCCCTCACAAATCTGGTGGAATTATAGCGCTCTCTGATGGTAAATAAGAGACTTAAACTGAAAATAAGATGTGTAATATAGATTTGATGCTTCTTTTTTTCATATTTCTGCAGCTACTAGATTAAAATCTCCACGAAGAGCCATCAGTGAGAATGATAAACTTGACAAGAAATTAATTTTTAAGGAACATGAAGATAAAGAAATTATTCTGGGATATGACACAACTACATGTATATTTTTTTATATATATATATATGTAAGTGTGTATGTGTAGGCATATCTCACGCCTATATGTAAGACATAAATACTTACATATGTGTATACAAATAACAAAACCCTAGCAGAAAAATAAAAATTCAGAGTAGGAATCAAAACCAAAAGGTTCTAAAGCCAAAGCTTGCAAACACCAGTCTCTATGACTCACCTCCTGAGGTATGTTCCACGCCATATAGACATGGCTCTTAAATTCATCCATCCAGACTTCAGCCACCCTTAGTGCATTTCTCCGGACATGAGCAGTTAGATCTTCTGTGTAGGGTTTATGTGCTCTTTCAATGTGGGCAATCCTGGAGCAAGGTAGAACCTCAACACTTCCTCCACATTGCCATACCTAGGAGGAAAAAAGACATTCTGCTAGTGAGCTCCCCACACCACTGCTGTCCTTTAGTAATACACTGAAATTATTTTATATCTATATTTGTCATTGTTACAAAGGAGAATAACAACTCGAGACTTAGTTGACTATGCAGAAGGTTTTTTTAGACAGCCATGAGAGGAGCGAGTCATTACCTTTCCTTACCATGAATTATTACTACTATTTAACCTTACTACAGGATTATTACACTACCAGTAGCCTCTCATCACAATCTTCCTGGACTAATTTAGCTATTCTCAAGATTATTAATAAAATTATTTATAGGCCATGCAAAACAATAGTGTCTGGGTTCAAGTTTTAATGCCTTGCAGGCATTTCCCTAAGATTGTGCAGTCTATCTCAACGCATACACACACTATTCAGAATCTTGAAATAGGAAGCCTTCATCAAAGGGAAACAAAACCAATCAACTTTTCAAGATCTCTAATGTTTCAGGTTCTAGGAAGACTAGGAATATAAATGCATCTTATGCTTTGCTTTAAACATAGGTCAGAAAGGATCAGGTTTATTTCTTTTAAGAAGGAGTGACAAAGACTAAGACTGCCTAATGAAAATGTGTCTGAACAATTTCAACACACACTACTCTTATAATATGTTTATAATGTAGATTACTGTACCCTCAAGCGTTTTCAGTTTTGCCCACGACTGCATTTAAGTGAATGTCCATAATGTTAATCCTAAGTACTGCACTCATTTCTGATTTTCTCTCTTTCTGCTTTCAACAAAAGAGAAAAGCACTTTGGCAGCCTTAACAGTCAGTTAAGTGCTTGAATTATTTTACATAGAAGCTTTTTTTCTGTGTATCTCGTATTATGTAAACTTCCTAACAAGATGAAGGCAGCCCATTCATAATGGTTGAGTGAATGCTGCTTAGGTGAAAACGCAGATGTACTCAAACTGTTTGAT